GTGCCTTCCATGTATCTTCTCCTCCCCTAGACTGCTCTTTGAATACTGAAGACTTGATTAATTTAGATTTCTGATATTAATATGCATCCAAACACATCCTTATAGAGGATTCAGGAAATCTCATACAGCTTGCTGGAACCTGTCCAGATCTGAGAGTGTTGATGTCCCAAAATGGAAGTTCAGTTTTGTTTTCTGCCAGAGATATTTCTGTGTAATAGAATGTCTCTGGATGGAGTTTCTCTGTAGAAAGTGGTGCTAACAAGTATTGACAGTGTCACAAGGATGCTGTTAAACAAGTTGATAGATTTAAAAACTCTCAGAAATCAGGAAGATATGAAATTAATGCATAGAAAAGACAGATCCTGCCTCTACTTCACATAATTCTTCCTGACGTGGTATTCCATTCTCTCTCTGTGATTGGAAATGCCATCACTTGTACTCTTTTGTGGAAAGCAGCAAAAGGATGTTATTTCACAGGGGGACTTCAGACAGTCTGAGGCTGTGGGCACAGTTGTGCTTCCTGCATCTATTCTGTGCGCCCTGGCTGACGCTCCTCCTTAATTTGCGTGGAATTGCCACTGACATGAAAACTGTCTGTGGCAACTTTCACACAACCCCTGTGTTTCCTGAAAGTGGGAAAAAAATAGAAAAATTGTATTTTCCCATTTGTCAGCCATGAGTGAGTGAGTGGCAGGATGGCTGTTGAGATGAAGCCTCTGCCAGCAGTGACATGGGGCTGTATGGAGGCAGTTGGGCCAGAAACCATGGGACAAGAATGGCGAGCAGTTTGACTAAGTTATGATGAATCTGTAGTGAGTTTTCAAAGGGAGGTGGGGATAAAAGGTGGCAAGACCAGCAGCGTGGCTGGTGGTGAGCCAGTTTATGCATCAGAAGATCCAGACTGTGGCATTCTACACGCACAGGAGTTTGGAGAAACATGACTGAGGAGGAAGATTTTGGCTGCTGGAGGAGAGGTAAGCCAATGTGGCAGGGGAGTGAAGCAACAGTATAGTTGATAGCTTTGCTAGAGGATTTGAATTGAGGTATAAGGTTAATGTCCTGAATGCTCCATCCCTGGCAGTGTTCAAGGCCAGGTTGGACGAGGCCTTGGGTAATAAGGTTTAGAGTGAGGTGTCGCTGCCCATGGCAGGGGGGTTGGAACTTGATGATCTTAAGGTCCTTTCCAACTCTAACTATTCTATGATTCTATGATTCTATGATAAGAGAAACCAGTAAAAGAGAGAAAAGTCTTCAAGCTGGACTCATCTTTGGCTGTCAGCACTATCAATAATTACTTTGCTAATAACTCTCCAAGGCTGCTCCCACAACCACCTCACTGCACAGTTCCAGCAGGACTGGCATACCAGGATGCCTCTCTTCTGCAACCTCCTGGTGCTTGCACCCCAGACTCATTCCAAGATAGTTTATCTTATTTTATACATTTGGAAACAGGTCTCCTTGATGTTTACCCCAATACATTTTTAGAATGCAGTTGTGCAAAGAATTGTTTGGCAAGGACACAGTGAGCTTATTAGAAAGTGTGGTAGGAAAAAAAATAAACTGTAAAGATAGTTACATTGTTTTGTTTATTAAGCTGATAACTAAATTGACCATTAGTAATCTGTACAGGAATGTAGGAAGTATTGGGTGTTCAGGTTTAGCTGAGAACTTGAAAGGGGAAGGTGTGATGTTTCACTGTCTGAAAATGCCGGTGCCCAAGTTCAAGGACTATTACGGGCAAAAGGCTGTTGAAGAAGAAAATGGGACAGATCATTTTATCTGCTTCTTTGCTCAGGAGGAGCCAATAAATAAGTAAAGCATGTGCAGCAGAGGGTTTTGAGAGCTGAATGTTGAGGAGCAAGTATTTGGCGACACTGCCAGTAATGCAAAGGCAGGTCAAATTGAAGTTTTCTAGGGGATAAGTTGAGATCAGCAGAGGAAAAATGACTACTGGGTAGGTATTTCAAATTCATACTGGGGCTTTGGGGCTTCATTGTAGTATTTCTACCTGATAATAATGTGAAAATGAACATGAGCAAGAGTGTCCAAGCAACATAATTTTAGTGTAGTTGAGCTGCTATTCCATTCAGGGAATCAAGGACAAAATCACATCCAGTGGCACTACCTTTCCTTCCCTATGGCCTACAACACCTCAGACAGCAGATGACCAACATCCAGTGACATTTTCTTGCAATTTTTTCTGTCTAATTAGGTCAGTATGATACAGCAGTTTATTAACCTTACACTGTTTTCCCAAGAAGAAATAAGTAGTTTGCTTGCTTTTCTTTTTTCCACCAGTGTTTGTGTATCTATATTTAGATACAGCTGGACAACTTGTCTGGATGTGGACCCTGCTCATGCAGAATTATGAGAATCAGTGAAGTTACTTGACTTCAGAAATGCCTGGCAAGAAAAAAGAAATCAGCTCTTTGAGGAACTGTTCAGACCACATTCAACTCTCCACAGCTAGATTAGCTATCAGAATTAGGTGCCCAGGCCCCCATTGAATTTTCAGAGAACAGCAAGGCTCACTTTCTTAGAACCACATTAAACATACAGGGAAACAAAATTCAAGCAATTAAATACAGCACCAGTGATGGCACCACAAGAATAGTCCAGTTACTCTGAATCATTTTACATCACCTCACAAATACAGTGTTATTACTATACATATAAATTCTGTATTAAACCAAAGTCACTGTTCACCTAAAAAAAATGACATTTTGATCTGTTACGCTATGGGAAATTGGGACAACTCTGCTTAAATCAGTGGAATGGAATTGAACAGATTTATAGCCTGGCAAAATTTACTCCTGAATCTAAGTGGAACTAATTTATCCACATGGGATTTTCTAGGAGCATGCCAGACAGCTAAATGTATAGAAATAAGGAAGGGAATTGAAGTGGGAAAACATTCACTTAGCTTCTGATGCAAAGGAACTTCAAAAATGGATGTACTGCTAAAGGTCTATTAATATGTTTTGTACCTAAATCTGTCTAATTTGAAAAGTTTGGGGTTTTTAAAGTCCACTAACCCATGTCTTCACAGAGTAGAATTTCCTCAGGATGTGGATTGTCTCTCAATGTGTACATACAGCCACAGCAGACAGAGAGCCAAAGTATTAATTCAAACTTTCTGAACATCATCATAATTCAAATAATAAACCATGTGAAACAGAGTGTCACTTTTAAACTGCTTTAGTGCAGATGGTCTTTTTCTTAATTCCCAGCCCCATAGTTAGTGAGCTGAGCTTATTGAACTGCTTGCCAATTCTATTAAGAGCAGATGGAGTGAAACGGGATAAAGGCAATATTTCAGTGTAGCTCTCACCCCCAAATGCCATTATCGACATACATTTTACAACTCTACATCTCTTGCCATCAGCAGTTATAATTATAAAGAGGTTGAGCATACTTGGCTTGAATGTCAATGATCGATAAGGATGCTCATCTGGCTCAATAAGGATAAACTGTTGCCCTTGAAATAACATGATGTTCCAGCAGTCAAAGTGAACTAAGACTAGTCCCTAGATATTAATACTAACTCTTGGTGTCTGTGTGCATGTAATGCTTTTTGTTATGCATTTCTCTGACCGTTCCCTAGCACCATGCACTCTTCTTGTGTCTTATAGCAATGTATTAAAGTAATTCTTTTGAGTGCACCCTTTTTAAAAACTAATTTCTTCCACTTCAGGCTGTTGGTTTTTTTTCCTAAAGTCTTTCATTTAAAACTGTATCTTTCTAAAAACCACCTAGTTCTTCTTTCTAAACCCTGATGACAAAACATGATACGTGGGATTTTCAGAAGTGCCCTCTATGAGTGGACTGTCACTGCCTCTAAATCCCATGATCAAACTCTGTCCAGCTTCAGTTAGGGCAGATACACCTCTGTCTTAAATTTAAGACAGACTTAAATTATTTCTGAGTGCTCAGGAAATACTAATCCTACTTCTATGGGAAGCAGTTACCATTTATATAGAAAGCATGAATGACCTGATCACAATAAAAATTTGTAATACATAAGCACAGCTAACATCAAGATCACTGGATCCCTGGAGACATAATTTTTGATGTTTTAATAAATAGGGCATTTAGTAAATGAAACAGGCTAGAGGTCATCCTCTGGCCCTCAGACTAGCTGGCATGTGAAATCTGTGGCAAAATGACTGAACTCCTTCTACTTACACAGCAATAGCATGCAGCTTTCCTTGGGGTCTTGTCCCAGGCTTTTGCTGAGACTGTTGTCACCAGGCCAGGCTGTGGCATTGACCATACCAACAGCGTAACACTATGGGTGAGTGGCTGTGCTGTACCCATACCTTGGCCCTTTTTACTTCGTTAGTACAAATACGGTATGTTTGTGCAGAATGTTCACTGACATCCCCAAAAGTTTTGTGACTTCAGATCAATTTCCATTGCAGGGATGTCATTCATCTAAATTTCCTTTTGAAGTTGGCAGTTCTGTAACCTATCTGTCAGACACAGGCAAATATAAGTCTGAGAATGTGTGGAGGCTACTGGAAGTGTCCAATAACGCTGATGCCCCCTGGTAAAACCTTGGAGTAGACTCCTGCAGCATCGCTTTCCAATTCCCCAGATGTCTAGAAGCTTTCTGTCCGTGAAGTCTATGCTGTCAGTAAATTTTAAATGCTAATAACAGGACATGACAAATTCTGTGCTAATCGCAGTAAAAATGGGAGTTTCTGTGTTCCACGGTATTCATTAAAGTCTTTTTGCTCCCTGTGTTCCAGGAGTTAGTATAAGAAGGCCTAATAGTTGATATATCTTGCCACTGAGTGCAAGAATGGCAGATCCTTTTCCTGCCCAAGAGCGGGTTTGTGTCAGTTCAGCTCAAGTGAGTAAGTGTAGCCTCACTGTGGAATGCAGTGTTCCAAACACACACTGCTGTGCAGTAGTTCCGGTGAGCTGGAACCAGTCACCCATGTTTTCATGTTTGCTCATGTAATTTTTAACCCTTTGTTTCTTTCCCTTTCCTGCAGATTTTTATTGGTGAGATATCCATGTATTTCATAAAGTCAACACGAGAAACCCTTATTATCCAAGAGAAAACTATTTTGACTGGAGAGTGCTGTTACCTGAACCCACTGCTTCGAAGAATAATACGCTTTATAGGTAAGCATCCTGAGGACTGAAAGCTTAGTTAGTCCCTTTTTTGCACCAAAACAGAACAAAACACTCTAATAATCTACACCACAAAATTAATTAAGCTGTGAAATCTTTACAGGCGTCTTCCACCTTAGAGGGATAGTCCCCCTTGGATTTGCAAGGTAATGTTCAAAATGTGCCATATCATGCTGGCTGGAGCTAATTTATATCCTATTCTGTTGAGCTTAATGCTTCTTCTGGACCCTTAAAGAAGGCTATGCCAATCAAATCCTTATATGAATAATTCCATCATTGCTAGCCTGTGTAAGCTACCCATTTTACTTACAAATTGGTCCTCACCAGCCCATCTCTTTGGAATTTTTCTTTCCAGCTCTAATTTTATCATCCATAGCTCTGCCACAAAACCTAAGAAAGCACAGAGTCCACATAAAATAATGTGGGGTTTTTGTTTTGGTTTGGTTTTGTTAGAGCTTCCATTGAGTTAATCGCTAAGAAATTAATGAAGAAGTTCTGTCACTAAACCATTGGGGGTTTCTTTATATGCTGCATGCAAACCACAAAGACTTTTTACCATTGTTGATTAGTCAAAAAAACGTCTATGAGACCTTACTGAGGTGATGATCCCATGGTTCTTTTGGAGCAGGAGGAGGAATAGCATTATAGCTTGTGTTTCCACTGTGGCACTAACAGAAAATCTAGTTCTCTTCTGATGGCTTCCCAATTCACAGCCATTTAAGGCTGCCCAAATCACACCCCAAGGTGTTTAGAGACAAGGAGGGCTCACTTCCTACTTCCTTGTAGCAGCTGAGTAGAAAGAGGGCAGCTCTGAACTGCATGTGTAAGGGGCTTGTTCTCACTTCTCTCCTTATTCATGAGAAGTCCCAAGTTCATCCATTGGATGGGATGGTTTGTCTTGTTGCTGGCATGGGCCAGTGTAAATATGGCTCCCCACTGATCAAGATGGGCTTTGCCCACAGAGCATCACTGCATCTCCCTCCGTGTATACTCATAAAGTTAAAGCATACTTACACACTGCATCTGGCAGAAAGGCTGGGTCTGAATTCAGTCTGAGTCAACAAAAGCATTGGGGAAAAATGCTAAAAACCTCTGGATCCCTTCTTCCGTATCACTGCCTAATTTCTGAGTTTTGTCTGGAAGAAAAATATCCAATGTAACTGTGGCAAGGATTGTATTGCTTCCATGGAGTGCAGCCCTGGCTGAAGGCAGAGATACTTGCACAGAGCATGCATGGAGCTGAAAGTCTTATCCTGTGTTAGGGTTTCCATCAGCAGCCAATATATGCTGCAAAGGTTTTCTTTACCCCTCTCCCCTCTCTGTGTCTCCTGCTTTATGCATGGCAGTCAGGAAGTGAAAATGGATTTTTACCTTCTTCTGTACTGGGGGTAGAGACAAACAACCTGTGGTTCATTACTGAGACCTGGCCTGGGTGCTGCTGATAAAAACAATAGACATGGGAATGCAGTTAAAAGTAAAATACCCTTGAACTTCACATAGGTCTAGGATACATTAATGGGTAGTAAACTGCCATCAGGAGAGAAGCAGGGTGCTAGAGTCCACTCGGCCACTCAGGGCTGTTTCAATGGTGCAGCACAATCAGAGTCCTAATCAAATACTCTTGCCTGCAGGGTCAGCACTAAAAGAGCTTAGACCATAGAAGCTAAGCACTTGCTCTAAGCACTATGTTTTCTTGTAGTTAGCTTTATGCTCAAACATTTGTGAGATTGTGGAAGAGAAGGGGGTAGCAGTGATACAATGGACTCTCAGAGAGCGACTATAGATATGAACCCTACTAGAGAAATCAATCTTGGCTTTGCAGCTATGCATGCTTTCCTATGAAAAATGAAGTTAACATCACTAGAAATGACTTAAAGTGTTTGTCTCATCTTAAAATACACTGATTGTTTGCTTGTTTTCTTCTTCAACCTTTGCCCTGCCCTGCAGTAAAATAAGAGAAGTAGAGATTGTTGGAAAGTGGCTGAAATAATTTATGAAAGGAACTAAAAATAGCTGCATTTTTTTAATGACATTCCACCTGTATTTTGAAATCATGACACTGACCGACGAGCTGTAGCCTGTGCTGGATGCTCAGGGAAGTTAGCTCCATACAGCTGCTAATTCCAAAAAGAGGCTACCTGGATGCTTAGCTCTGGAAAGACTAACAGGTTGCTCATACATACATTTCCTTCTGTGAGTTTTCTCTTGCTAAACTTGAGGACCATAATTTACAGAGTTGATTAAGTAGGTTGTCTACCAAGATACCTTAGCAAGCAGTATGTCTTGTTGCAAAGAATTTTGCTGCCTATTTAGTCTTGGTACAAATTCACTTGAATATCCGTATCTGGTGTTTCCTTTGGCTCAGATGTGTGAGTAAGAGTCTTAAATAAGTACCTGTAAAAAGTAGTAATTTAACTCCTTGGAATACTGCCTTAGAAGTCATTACAGTTGGTGTTACTCAAAAGGATGAGAAAAATTCTTCAAGGTGTCTGAGTATGCATATGTGAGGAAAAGCTTACTACTTCCTGACCCTGCAAAGCACATCATGGAGAGCTTCTGAGAGTTGCTATCACCAAATTTTAGAAAGTCAAAGAGGCTTTTCCTCCCTTCCTAACTCTGTAACTGGATTTGCTGGGAAGAGATAGGGTTTTAAGAATAGTAGCCTAAAGGAGCTTTCCACAAAACAAAGTTACAGATACTTCATTGCATATTCACTTAGATTTTATAAGGAAAGAAGCAAAAAGGGAAATTCCAGACTATCTTTTGGTGATGTGAAAGATTAGCATCCTTCTCATACCATCTCCAAGGGGTATTTCAGATTTGGTTGCTAGACTTGATCGTTTTCCTCTCTTGCTTTTTCTTCATATACATAATGATGTACTTTTTTTTGCTTTGATAGTGGATCAAAAAATTAAGCTAAACCAAACCCCTGAAAGTCTTCTGAGATATAGGCAAAGCCAAAGGTTTCTGTCCCTTGATTTTTCTTATCTTGCCAACAGTACTCCGTGCTTATTTTCTCTTTGTTTTCCTCAAGCCCTCAGCAACTGTCAGTTTCTAAGATTCTACCCTCCTAAGTTTAGTGGGAACTTTAACTGTTGAGCTTTGTCTTAAATTCTTCCCTGTTTTTTTTGTCCACAGGAAGCAAACCCAAAATTTCTCACTGCTTCCTGGGCCAGGCATGAATTCTGTGCATTGGCAAACATTTGCTTCTGTGGCAAGGGGCTGCCTCTCAAATTGCTTCAGTGTACATCAAGTCCTTCACTGCAGCTTAGATTGGTGAAACCAGCTATGTTCTCCATATTTAGAAATTCAATACCTTTATCAGGAAAAAAAAGCTGGCTTATCTTGGAAACATCAGACTTTGATGTATGTTGCAGTTTGTTCCATCTTTGCCTTATCTTTTATAACTGCTTCCACAAACATTTCTTTTGAAGATTTTCAGGTCAAACAAGTGGTGTGCAGTGACTTTAGAGCTGGTTTTTCTGTCTAAAATATTGGTACTGCACTGCTGTTCTGTAGTTAAATTGCCTGTCCTCCCTCCTCTCCACGCCTCTCCCATAAGTTTTATTGCTGCCAAAATTTGCCATTTACCTGCTGGACCTTTGAGAAACCAGTGTATGAGCGGCTGTTTCTTGGGCCTCTGCCTCTTCTCCCAGTATCCCAACTTTAGTACACAGTTTTGTGTTTTTATTCTCCCTGTTTTGTGGCAATTTCCTGTTCAGTACTTTGTTAGCTTCCTGCCATATTGCATTTGCTTCTATGTTCTACTTCATCATTTGTGTTGTGAATAGAGATTAAAAATTATTTTAGCATTATATACTGAATGGTTTCTGTTAAGTATTTAGTTTGTTTATGTACAGCGGCTATCATACCCTCAGGATCATGGATTCAGACTTCCCTGACTCTGTTTGGCAGGGTGACTACAGTGTGCGTTGTGTTGCATTTCGTTGTATTGGGCTTCTAATCCATGTAATTAAGTTGTATATCTGCAAAGCCCTGATAACATGCAAGTAGCCTCTCTCCAATTCTGATATTTAGGAGAGCAGCATGCTTTGTGAATTTGTTACCAGTAGCTTTTACTTTGGACCTGCGTAATTTGCAGTTAACAAATGGTACAAATCAGCTTTTGCTGACAGCTTAATTTAAAGCATAGTGACACCTCACAGTGGGCAGCTAAATAATGAAATTAGGGCTTTATTTCAGCAAATTAAGGTGCTAGTTCAGCAGATAAAGGTTTACAAGATTTATACACACATTGAGTTTATTGTAATAGGCTAGATATACACCAGAGCTCTAATGTCAATTCCGTAGACAGCTGCAGGACATAGTTTGCCTGACCTTATCCTTCTGCTTGCCTTGGATCTGAAGTTAATTGTGAAACAATGCATGTTCTGTTACTAACTGGCTGCTTTTCAGAAGGGCTCAGGATGTATTCAGTTGTGCTGCCACTAACCTAGACTACAGCTTAAATTTCTGTAGGTCCTTCTTATCACTGAAGAGCTTCCACTGTAAGAAACAGGTCACTGTGCTGGGGGCAAATCAAACCTTACTCTTCCCTTTTATGCCAGGCTCTGAGCTGGCTGTTGCCTAGGTAGTTGGGAAGGAGCAAGGAAGAAATGAATCATGTGTACCTGTAGGGAGGAATCTTGAGACTCCAGGGTACTTTCACATTGGTAGCTGAATTTCTTCTTGCATGCCTAGACCACACGTCTTCCTTCTCATATCTTGGGAGAACAGTATCCAGGCAGGACACTCACAGGTGAAGCAGGCACAAGAGGCAGTAGATGCCTGGAGAAGTGAGCTTTGTGGGGTCTTCAGTGGGGAGATCAAAGCCAGTCCCAGGATCAGATTATGAGTGCTTGCAAGGAGCTTGCTATTGAGTCTGCTTCTGATACCATGGCAACAGACAATAAATTTTCCTGCAACCCCCATCTCTCCAGTTGTAAAATGGATTAATGATACAGAGCTCCTTTAACAACACCCTTTCAGATACCATGATGAAGGGTGCTTTAGTACAGTCTGAGTCACAGGACTATAAATATACAGCTGTACTGGATGCACAGGACCATTAGAGCAAAACCTTCGGAGATGGGCTGAGGATCAGCGTTGCCATAGAGCCATGAGTCCTTCCAGGGACCCCTTCCTTCCAGTGGAACTCTAATCCTTTTAAAAAACATAGGCACGGAAAACGGGTTGGGGAAGTGTGAGTGTGCATGTGTAACATGAATGTTTTCTGAGCAAATTAAGTTGAGTGTGACAAATTCAGATAATTGACTGGGCACTGAGAAACAAGTACCTAAATAAACGCACTCAGTAGAAGACATGATGATATGTTACCAAACAGCAGAGCTTCCAATGTCTCAGGAGCCCTTTAATACATTTTTTCTTTTGCCATTTTGCTTAGGGGTTTAATGGGCTTTTTTTCTCTAATAAAGAATTCTATTTCCTCATTCTCATTTCCACCCCATTTCTCACTTCTCTCTTCCTGATGTCTTTTCAACTCTTCTACATCTCTGAGGGGTTTTTTGTTGATTTTCTTTTCTTGTTTTGTTTCAAATCAGTGGCATTTTAAATATAATAGTGAGAGTTCTGTGGAGTCACAGACAGCTGCAGTCACTGATATTTACACAGATTCAGCGTGGAAGAAGAGTTTGAGCGTAAATTGCAGGGAGAAGACAGGATTGTACTGAGGTTACAGTGAGTGAGGAGAGAGAGATTCTTCTTCACGGTAGATATCTCTATTGGAAAAAGCAGTAGACATATTTGTAGATGGCAACAGTGATCAACAGCCACACAGGAAGCTCAGCAGGAGAAAGACTTTTAGAGTAGTGTGTGAGTGACTACGGAAATTATGGGTTCGCGCTTGAAGGACTTTCTGGCAACAGTTTAGAGGGAAATGTAAGTAAAGAAATTAAAACCAAACCATTCAAAATTGAAGCTGCTTAACATTTAGGTTCTTCTGCCAAGACAAGTGTTAGTTTACCTGAAATGGAAATGGAAAGATTCACAGTTCATGCTGTCTATCCTCGGCATTTTTGAGCATGACTTTCCTTGTTTGTTCTTTTTTGGTTTGCACATTTAGTCTGTTTAAGGTCTTTCCAGCTGGAGGTAAAGATATGTTAAAATCTGATCCTCAGTTCCTTCTGGGACTCTGGGGCAGCTAAAGGGAGTAGCAGGGAGTATAGACCACCCTTTGTCTCTCCCCTAAATTAGTCTCTCAGTTACATTCTCTTACAGGTTTGCCTTCTAGCCTCTTCTTCTGGCTGTTCCTGACACACACTAACACAGCTGAGAGCCACGATAGTGACAACAAAAAAAAAAAGGAAGCCTTTCCAGAAATAGTTTCTGCTCCTTCTTTAAGGTCCCTCTGTGCAGCCAAATGTGTGTGTGACGTGTGGATGAGGAAAAGGACTGTCACTGTGTAAATGAAATTAATGTCTGTCCATCCTTTTTCCTAGTAACCAACTGTAGAGGCTGTAGGTATTCTCCTCCTTGCACTGTTTACATCTTATCTCAGCATATGCTAAATTCTGGACTAAAGACGTCTTCCAGGATTATCTGGGTCAGAGGGAGCACAGTATGATAGAGCACTTGCTCCTTAGCAGGATGACATAACCTCCCATTACACCTGAGCAGAGGTACATGTTCTCTTTCCGTGGCATTATATCATGGACTTCAGCTATATGACCCTGAAGAGCTAGGGGTAGTTGCCTTTCCTGTGAAGCCTTTCAGCAGCAATTTGTCTGCCTCTTAAAACCTATCAACCACATCACTGCATTCTCCCACTCTGGTCAGTAGCCTGGCTTCTCTAGGTCATTGAACAAATCCATTGGACAGATGGATTTATGAGGTACAAAAACCGTCAGGGGACTCTCCACCACTACCCAGGCTCACTGGTGTCACAGCCTTTAAATCAATTACAGCCAGCCATATCTCAGTCTCCAGAGACTAAATTACGTGCAATCAATCTGCAAGGGTTAAATTCCTGCTAGCCAAATTCACTGCTGCACATAGCTGTGATTTTCATAAGGAGCAGTTTGGCAGAACTGCAAGAGAGGAATTACAGTGATCAATATTCATAGCAGTCAGAGCATGATAAAGATTTCAACCATGGCTTGCTCTGCTGTTCTGCAGAGTACTGCAGCCCTCAGTGGTTGAGTCTGGGCCAGCACTTTTAGTGCTACCCAGTATTGACAAACTGGAGATGTTGAAACTTGGGTTTTTTTTGAGAAAAGCACTGACCACTTTTGTACCTGTGCACTGCCTAGAAATCAATGTAACATTGTGAAACCTATGAGCTTTTTCTGAAACTCCTCAGTCCCTGGCTTATACTTACTTACACAATAAAGACTGTGGGCCAGACTGCTTGGCTCTTAGATTTCTTCTAAGTATTGTAGAAGGCTGGGTAATAATCCTCTCTTCATTGCATGTGATTTGCTCAGCACATCAAAAAGATGCCATTTAAACCAAGCTGTGACCAAAAAAAAAAAAAAAAAAAAAAGGAAGAATTTGGCCACATATAAAACAAGCTTAATCTCTGGCATAACCTGCTGTTTCAGCAGGCTGAGAAAATACCTACTGCCTTTTTCCTTTCAACTTCCTTGTGCACTTGCTAATGTAGATGAGGAGTTCGTGCCAGCTGTGGAAAACCATGGATTTAAAGTATCAGCAGAGGGATAAAGCAAATAAAGGAGTAGTGTCAGTGCTCTCTTTATTTCTCTTTTTAACACAGCCACTTAGCAGGATAAATGGAAAAAAGGCACTCATGCCAGTAAAAAATGAGGCAGTCCTGCAGTCTAGAGCAAGGGGAAGGCTACCTCCTTCTTTGACCACCACCGTCTTTTTAAATCCATGATCACACATCAGTTTGTTCATAATGAACAATAATAAACTCATGGTGAGGACAGACATCTCTGCGCTCCTGCAGCCACTCCAGACTGCTACTCAGGGATAGGGCTCTTCCCATCACTACCTTACCTTACCAGAGAGGAATTGTGTTACAGCACAACACCATCTCTGTGAGCAAGTGGCACTGGTAAGCCTCTCTTGACGCTCGTACAATTAATCCATTTTTAGTTACAGGTTTTATTTGATGTTACTGTCTGTACAAGTGTCCTGTGTGAAGATAGGCCCTGAGCATTTTGAAGGACCTGTCAGCTGTAGCCCATTTTCTTTAACAGTGACAATATCTGTAGAGCAACCCTTGATTCTTGTTAATTTCTTGTAAAGCATTTTCTGCTGAATTATTTTGATTACTCCTTGATAATTTTTGTTTCCTCCTTGATAGTTTTTGTTTCTCAGACTATAGCAGCGTTTTTTTCTTCTTTTTTTAGTATCAATGAGGTTGTTATAACCATGGTGGTGTCCACTCTCATATCACAGCTCTCCTAAGATGTTTTTCCTGGAGCTCCAGCTCTTGGTTATACTCAAACACATCCATCTCAGCTAATTTATAATTTAAATTACTTTTGCTTACAGAGATACAGGAGGTGAAAACCAAAAATATATGACCCTCAACATTCCCACATTATAAGTAAATATTTATTTGTTTTAAATTTTTGTGATACTTTAATCCACCTTAGTGATGGGAAGGGGGAAAGAGGAGCTGATTTAGGCATTTAGAACATTTGGGTTTGGCATTTCTGCAAACCTGCTATTCTGTTCCTTTGCTATGTGGGCACTACATGCAAGTGAAGGATCCTCATATATGTTTACAGCAGCTGTAGCAGGTATTGGTAACACTAATAGAAGTCAGTGGAGAATGTGACAAATGCAGTATTGAGCAGAGGGTGCTCCAGAACCCTGGAAATGTTTCTGCTGTCGAGAATATTTCCTGCTGGAGCATTTGTGGGTATGCACTCCCAGGGACATGAGCTGAACAGCAACTGTGCGGAAATGTCTTCCAGAGAAAAGCATTAGGATGTTTCCAAAGTGACTTTTCAAATATTACTAGTTAATATTACTATTAGGGTCTTAATATTTCAACATCAGGATGGTGAATAGTCAAAATCCAAATGGTACATGACACTAGATAATCAAAAGAAGTGCAATGCAGTTTCTCAGGACTACACTGCTCTTTCAGGTTCAGAGACATTATACTTTCTGGTTTTGGCCCAGATGTGGCAAAAATACAAAAACATTTTTAACAACTCATGTACATGACACCTGACTTCAGGTTTGTGTCACAGGGGAAACTTTACAGACAGGTGCAGCCTTTCCTGTTCAGAGCTTGAATCACAGAAACACTTATGTACTTGCTTACCATTTTCAGCCTGTTTCTGAGTCCTTCTGGAGTCACCTGTCAAGAGTTAAGCATGTGGTCCTCTGCGTCATGCCTTTGATGCGGGACTCTGCTGGAGTCAGCAGGGACTTCTTTTAGGTAATGACTGCAGAACAAGGCTTTGGTTGCTTACCTTTCATTCTGTCTCTTCCTTTCAGGTGCCAAGATTATTTTGCTTTTAGCCTGTTTGAATAATCATTATTTTAAACCTTTTGTCACAGGAGTGTTTGCATTTGGACTTTTTGCCACCGACATATTTGTAAACGCTGGTCAGGTTGTGACTGGGAACTTGGCTCCCTACTTCTTGACTGTATGTAAACCCAACTACACTGGAAATGACTGTCGAGCCCACCACCAGTTCATAAACAATGGCAACATCTGCACTGGGGATGTCGGGGTGATTGAAAAGGCAAGGAGATCATTTCCATCCAAACATGCTGCTTTGAGCATCTACTCAGCTTTATATGCCACGGTGAGTGTCAGTGATGATTTCTAGCTTGTGTAAGAGGTCTCTGTAGCTGCATACAGGTGGAGCCATTTTTCTTAAAGGAAAAGAGGGTTGTTTTGGGGAGGGCTTTCTTCTTTATCTGTAGGGGAAAATCTCTCTCTCTCTGCTTTACCAACCCTAATATGAGCAAATCAAATGTTTGTTGCTTTTGAGGCACTGTATGATGTGGAGGCATGAGGTGAGGTCTTGAGTATGCATTTGGCCTCTTCTCCCTACCGTGTCTCATTAGCATTAAGATGAAGTTTATGCTTAAATGGCTCCTGAATCACTACTGTTTCTTTCGTTCACATGACACAGGTTGTTGAACATTAAAAATGTACACTGTGCCATTTCAATGTGAGGCTGAACTAGGCTGGATTTTTGCGCCTCTTGTTTAGTACCTGAATTCTCCATGCACAGAAGGTTGTAATAAAAGTCAGTGGCATAATTTTGCTGTTATCACAGATAAATGGACCCCAGTTGACATCTTGACAAGGTGATGCTGCTATACTGTCAAGAAGGAAATTGTCCGTCTTTAAGAGTATTGAGAAAGAGATCCACCACTTGTTTGTGTTCTCTGGCTGAAATTTCTGTAATGTCTGAAAATTGATCCAAGAAGCTTACTCACAAAGTAGAAAACCTTGGTGGTTTTTGCATTAAAATCCAAGGACTTAACCTGGTTCTGATTTCAAAATGGCTTATCTAAGCCTTTTTCCCTCACCAGATTGACTCAAATGAGTGGCAGAGTCTGTCTGTTGGTCATCAGGATTTGAGAAAATTCTTAAGCTTATTGATGACAGGGTATTTGCTGAATATTTTACCCTGTTCTTCGTAGCAGGTAAATAAAACACCACATTATTACTATAAAATCAAGAGGCCACCCACTGCTGTTTCAGTGCCCATGTGTGTGCACTGAGTATTGTGTGAATAATGACAGATACAGACTAGCAACTCCTTTGTTCAGGACTTGTTGGGAAGTGTTTGGAAAGCCTGTAACATTTTGCACACATTACTTCCAAACAATAAGCAACCACATATGAAATAGAGTTCCCAATAAACTCAGTATTATTGTAGAAGCTGTTTTCACCTTTAAAACTCTTAGACGGAAGCTGCAGGATCAGGCTTGGTCCTGGCTCTGCCCTAAGCTAGTTACATCCTTTCATGGACTTTCCCTGTCTAACCTCCCATGTTTCTTATGAAGGCAAGTCTTCCACAAAAGGAAATCCCTAGTGTTTCTGAGCCCCAATGTTTCAAGACCGGCCTGCACTTCTCTCCACATTGGAGGATACCAGGTGGAGCCAGGACATAGAGTTACTTCTGAGCTGCAAGGTCGTAAAAGTCTGTCCTTAAGGCATTTCAGCCTGCAGTCCAATTTTAGCCCAGTTCTCTGCCTGAAACACCCCTCTAGCTCTAAAGGTGTTGTCACTTCTCTTTTCTGTGCCTGTCAGTTGGGAGTAACGTGAGCATTACGCAAGAAATGCAATGTTCAGATCTAGCTCTGCTTAGTAATTATGCTGTGCACAATTTTTTTGCGTCTTGCTGATTCTAATATGAGTGATAATGTGGGCTGCTGAACAAAAGCGTTTGGTTAGTAATAGCTGTATTTTGCATAAAGCTGGAGAGATAAGCCATGGAGCAAAGAAAATAAAACAAGTTGGACATGAGGAGAAAGGAGAATTAAATCAGCACAGACATTGTCTTTCATTGTATAAATGTCTGTTGAGATCTAAGAGTCTACTCCCATTACTGCAGCTCTACTATCCTCTGCAGATGTCTCTGTACTGATTTGTCTGCTACTGACAGTATTCACATTGTCATTGTTTGGATTTGTGTTTTGGTTTTGTTGTTTTGTTTTTTTTCCATAATCTGGGTTTTATATTAGATAGGCTTTTTCTTGTCACCTGCCAAAAAAGTTGAGGAGAACCAGAAGCATCACTTCTGTGATCTCTGCAGGCAGAGATAAATCTCCTTTGCCTGAAGCAGGGGAAAGAGAAAACAAGCAGCAAGCCCTGGCTTCCATACTTACACAAAAATTAGAATGGCATCTAATGAAGTATTACTAGTCTCCCAGAAGTATTGCACGAAGAGATGGCAATCACTGCATATAATACCTGCTGATGTACAGTTAGAAACACATACTTCCAAGTACCTTTCCCAATAAAAAATTATAGGCTAGAAATACTCCTTAATTCATTAACACTTCTGGAAAGAACAAACAAAACCCACCACAAGTAAAATAGCAACCAAACAAACCAAAACAACCCCATCATTAAAACAGAAAACAGATGATGAAATCATATGTTCCCTATGAGTGTCCCAGTCACATCATCTTAAGACAACTGTTACTTCATGCTCTTCTGAGAGAAGTCATGGAAGAGTCAATAACAAGGACATCTAACAGATGGCAGTGTTCACCCAAAACTAAAGTATTTCACCCACACAACTGGAGGATCTCTTATTGTAGAGGGAAGGTAAATATCTTTGCTGATCCTCCCATTTCCCTCTGGAGTGAAAGCAAGAATTGTTTTAGAATCACAAAAGGGTCTCTAGGATTGAAAGGTACAACCAATCACTTATTGACTGTTCAGTAGTTTTTAGGATTCTTCAGCTAACCCCTTGCCTAGCAGCATCCACAAGTAATGTTTTCTGTCGCATTCAGCTGGTAGAAGACTCTGCCTCATCACACTCAATCATGACCTGACACCTGTCTTTTATACCTGGGAGCATCGCTTCTTGACTAGATTAGAGTGATACATACCTGGGCATGAGACTTTGAATATTTGGGAAATTCTGAATAGCAGAGAACACTACAGCAAATCCTTTCTGCAACCCAGGTGACTGTGACCCCATCAACAATTTCTTCCATTTTTGTGTTAACACCTACCGGATCAATGAAGTTCAAGGCCTCCAAACTTCAAGCAGCTGCATTGAGCATCTAGGAGACTGCATCATGTTCTACAATACACATAATTGTCAAATGTTCTGCTTTTCTACTGTAGAAATCTCTGTGGTAAAGGGAAAGATTAAAATTTGTAGGGGGCAGAATTTTTCAATATTTGTATGAAACTGTGATCTTTCTAAGGAAAATAAACTATCACAAATCTCTCTACTTCCTGCTGAAAGGACAAGACAGACTTCTTCCACTCTGCCTTTCTCATCATAGATGTAACATAAATTCTAAATATACGCATATGTTTGCATATAGCTAAATATATATATGTATGTATATTTTAAACTTGCAAACAAAAAAGCCTCCTTGATTGCCTATGCCTTTGTCTGTCTGAAAAAAATGGGAGAATTACACACAAGATGAATGCTTCTATCACACATTGCACATTGCACAATACACTGCTTGAGCGTATCAAATGTGATCAGAGCACAGCAAAGAAGCCGAATAGATGATCTATATAGTTAAATAATATATAACTTATTTATTAATATGATTTATTCTATTTTCTTCACATATTTTTTATATTCACGTCTTCTTCCTTTTCCCACCCATCAAATAAGTGGTTTTGACATTCAGAGTTTTGTAAACTTACCCTATGAATAGCATCTTGGAAAATTTTCAAAAACATCTGCAGTGTGTAAGAAATCAAATGTAAGTGACGTTCACTGAGATTTTGGGCTCTTACACATAAAGCTTCGAAAACATGCTGTAAGTGAAAGGGTAAACACACTGTGGGAATCTTAAAAAGACCTTGTCTTTAGGGACTGCAACAATAAAGATCAGACCACAGTGATAGGAAGCCTGGCCAGAATGAAGAAGCTTTCCTAGTTATTTCAGTGTGTGATTTATGGATGAATTGGAGTACATTCTGGGAAAACAGTTTGTCTTGTTTTAAACCCTCCCCATGAGGGTTAAACAGATTTCCCTTGGCAATCTGTTCACATGGTTAATTACCCTCATTGCTAAAAATGTTCTCTTTACTACAAGTTTACATTTTCCTGACAAGATGCATGAAGCTTCGAATACATTAGCTACTTCCCATCTGTATTAAGGAGAACTGTCCCATTGGACAACCCAGAGATCCAGCTTCATCTCATATTTGTAAGAAAACAAACGTGTGTGGCCTAATTTCTGTAGCTAGGGTTTTCAGCTGTCCCAGCAGGACTGCATTCTTAAAGAAGTGATGCTTTTCCTTTGGATGCTGTAAACCGCAGTAGTGCTTTGGTAGGGAGCAGGAGAGCAATCCAACTCCATGTTGCTCGTTTAAATTAGTTTCTGCTAAAAGAAAAGCATAGGGTGAGAGGGTGGGTGGTAATTATTCAGACAGCAGCAATGCTATTTTTTCCCATTGCTCCCAAAGAACCTTAACTGAGTTTTGGCAATAGTGAGGTGCAGCTCAACCTACCAGCAAAGACTGGGGCAAGATTGCCGCCTAGTGCACAGTTGATAGCGATCATTTCAAGGCCTCTGGCGCAGTTAGGTATTTGGTTTGAAAAACAGAGGAAGCAGGAACCTCTCAGTCTCATTCCCAGTGCTATCACACACCAGAATGTTCCAGTTCATAAACTGAACTCACCTTTAAACGATGTGTTCAGCAGCAGCAATCTCCACTTCCTCAGGCAAAGATCTGGCAAATTCAGCTGTTAAAAAAGTCTAGCACTGAAGTTTCTTGGCAGGTGAAAGTGTACTTTTTCCTAGATACATGTCTGGAGGCAGTTAGATATACCTTCCCCTGGTCCCTTTCTCTGGTCTGACTTTCCCTTCCACGAGGTGGTTGATACATTCCTTCCCTTCTGGAGCTGTGTTGTAATGGGTTTAGGGTTAACATTTTTGACACCAGCCAGTGAAGGGAAGCTAGCTGTAGAGACATTTGATTCGCTTGGTCAGGGAGAAGGGAAAAGAAGTAAGGAGAGGGAAAAATAATATTTGTAATGCATAATACAGCACAATAAAATAATATATTAAAAGCAATTAACAGAGTGACCTTGAGAATGGATGTAATTTCTTTTTCTCAATCTCAAAACTATGTGCCAGACCACAGTGACCTCTCTATATCTGAGATGCAGAAGAAACAGATGGGCATTAAAATACAGTCAAATAATTACCCATGTTGCCAAATGGAGCACAAAGCAAACTGCACTGGTAGTTGCAATTGGAAACACCAAGTCAAGCCTGTGCAGACTTCCTTCAGCACAGGCACAGGAAAATCAGAAGGCACTTTATCTCAGCCAAGCCACTGTAGTCTTGGCCAGAGACTGGTGTCAGCCAGCACTGAGTCCCTAGCCTCTGCAGCAGTAACAAAGGAGAGCAGCTCTGGAGTCTCCACAGGCCCTCAGAGTCACACTCTGATTTCAGAGCCACCTGTGGCAAAGTTCTCAACAGTGCCCTTCCCCAGAAACTCAGTAATCCAAGAAAAAGATGAGGTCTGTGACCTGCAGGCAGCACAATCAGACATCCCAGTCATGGTGGTACTGCAGATGTGATTAAAATAATAAGGATCTTCTACAGAGTCTTTTGTCCAGAATACAAAGGGAACCGTATTTCGATTTCTAACATCTGAAAAAGGATCAAGGAAATGTTTCAGCTTTGAGAACATATTCTGAGAACAAAATATTTTTTTTTCTTTACAAATAAAATGCCATCTTTTGACATTAAACACTGGATGAGTCACTTCCATGGTCTGTAATTTTTCCACTCCCCAGCAGAACAGATGTTTGTATTTCCACTGGATCAGATCTATGCTTTGTGAATCAGGTTTACTTATCACCTGATTGGTAATAAAAATCAAATCAATATTTCAAATGTATCTCTCTGATTCTGTGTCATGTAGGGGTGCTAATGTATTATCTGGAGATATTTCTGGCAAACATGTCTGACATATTGTCTTTCCTTATCAAAGCTTTGGGAATCATCCAGGCATCCATGCTTCCTTGTTGAAGAGGATTTTATTGATTTGTTTTGCCATCAGACTTGGTTTGCTTGACCTTTGCTCTTTTGTGGCACTGGAATTAACGACCAGCTGCTAATTGAGACCCACACAGTTTCATTCACTCTGTCAAAATGCATGTAAAAGAAAATACAAACTGCCAGAAACGTGGGGTTTATTAAAAGTTATTCAGAACACAGTGAAACGTCATGCTCTGAGATTACATTTTCAGAATCAGCTTCATTTTGAAGGAAATCTCATATTCTGTGTTTAATTTAGTCTTGCAGAGAAAATGTTTGCAATGGTTTCTCTTAATGTTCTCTGTTTCTTAAACTTAACACCACTTAGAAAACTGGAGCAGCTAGTTCACATGGATGCAAGGCAGTCCACCATGTGCACATTACAGCTTTAGTAAGAGTATAAACATAAATTCTTGGCACCCTTTGCAAACACTTAGTCGTGTAAATTCAGGATGCATGTTTGATAGCATATGAGCAAGTACTTGCACAAGTTAGGGAGTCAGTAAACTGAACCTGTACATACCAGGTCAAAAAAAAGTCCAGTATGTAAATCTAATTGATGGCATATTTGACATCATGAAACATTGTTTAACAGTATCTGATTTATTCTCTTAAGAGTGTTCTCTGAATTACCTTAAACTTCTTTCAGTGTTTCCCAGTGTTTTTTTAAATGAATCATGGGTCTTGGCACATCCTTGCTGATTTACAATGTCTTGGTGAAAAAAGATTAATTTCTGGCAGAGCCCCTTTTAATTTTTGGCTTGTTCTTTTTTTGCAGATGTACATCACAAGCACAATTAAAACAAAGAGTAGCAGGCTAGCCAAACCTGTGCTGTGTCTGGGTACCCTCTGTGCTGCGTTCCTCACTGGGCTAAATCGAGTTTCTGAGTATCGAAACCACTGTTCGGACGTGATCGCAGGCTTCATCCTGGGGAGTGCTGTAGCTTTGTTCCTGGTAAACCCATCAGTCCTTCCACATTCCTTTTTAAATACTTTACTTAAAAAAAAAAAAAAGTACTATTCTTTTGTGGCCAGTTGCAGCTGATTAATCCGGTTGCTAAGAACTAATTCTAGCCTCATGTAGTTTAAAATATCAGAGAAAATCTTAACAGGAAATCATGTTTATACTAATTAATAAATCTGATATTTGTGCATTGTATATATTTCAAGGAGGTTTTTTAATTACTGTACGTTTTTCCTTGACCTGTTCTGAAAAATGCTTTAAATGTGGTAGAAGTCTCAGCTAATGTCAAAAGGTTGTTGTGCCTGAGAGTTCTTCTCTGACACCCCTGTACTGCAAAACCCTACTGCCTGCCTGGTATCTGGCAAAAATGTAGGACAGAGTGAGTGTATCTGGGGCTCTAAGCAGTGGTCCTGGTTCCTTTGTTTCAGACCATAAAAGAAGTACAGTAGAAAGGAAGGTCAGAACAACCTCCCTGGGAGACTAAACTACTTCCCTTTGTGGCATTTGGAGTTGCAATGAAATTATTCACCATCTCGTAACCAAATAACATTTGATAACCAAATGCATTTTTAATAATGCTCTATCAAAGGCAAAGGCCTTCCCATAGAACCTAGGAACTGCATCTCTCTGGACTTCTAATAGTACTTGCTCCCCTGTCAACTGTGTGGTTTAAGTGTTCTGGTTGGTGAGAGATCTCTTGCTGAGGGTTTACCCACACAGCAAACAATCAAGGTGATTTTTGCTATTACCAAGAAATGTGTGTGATTCCCTTTAATCAAAATATGCTTCAAAACTACTTATTGCATAGTAGCAGACATTTTAACCCTGTAATCAGGAGGGATTAGGTTTCAAAGATTCCTTAAATCTAGATTTTCCTGACACTGATTTTTTTGTATTTTTTATTTAAATAAAAATGAAAAAAAAATTACCCACCAAAACAAAAAAAAAAAAGCCTTTACATATCATTTAGTCCCATGGCCCCTTTAAATAAAAACACATCTACAACATCTGACCTGAATCTCTTTGGCTTTAATGTAAGTCATTTGTCTGATTCCCATTGAGAAAGTTTAAATCTAGCTCATACAATGTAAGAGGCAGTCACCCCATATATCTGGTCAGGACAATCTATGTGCTCCCAGCTCCTGTTTCTAGCAATGATAGTTGCTTCCAGCCACATTTTGGCCCTGCAGACCTGTTAGCCTGGGAGTTTCACAAGCTCAAATGCAGAGTGCTGGAAAGGGTCTCCCTGGATCTTGGAGCAGATGGGTGCTGAGATTCCTGCTGCTGGCACCGGACTCACCCAGGCTGCAGCCTGCTCCCTGCTCAGGTCTAAAGAGCAGCAAAGAGGAAGAGCCAAGGAGCTGACTGCTGGAATCGTTCTGACAGCAGATGTGTCAGCTCCTGTTTGTCTTTTTTCCCAGTCAGTGTGTTCTGAAGCCCCAAACTGCTAATGTGCGTTTGCTCTTATTAGCATTACCATGTGGGTGCAGTTAAGTCTGGTCATGCACAAGGGAAGGGCTTGTGGGATAAACACCACCAGTTGTGCTGGAAGTATGCAGGAATGGTGCTCAATCAACTTGACATAATCCACATGTGAGGTAGATTCAGCCATCCAGTGAGCTGTTTTCAGTGTTTGGAAATGACTGTAAGAGTCTGAAGGGAGTATTTGGCCAGTAGCATGCATCATAAGGGTAGTCCCTGGTCTGTGATGTAGACGTGGAAGTCCCTGTTGTATAAGGCATAAAAAGGCTGAGAATGGTTCATCGCCTCAGATTAGAGGCCAGGTGAACCCATTACCAAGGTAGCTCACCATGTCCAACTAGGTCAGTAAACACACTGAAGCCCAAGTGCCTTCACCAGAAACACAGGTTAAGTTCTTGTCAAAAACTAGCAGTTGTGAGACCCTTGGTGGTAATTCCTGAGAGGTTTTCCCATGGACAGATCATGCTAATCTCATTTCTTTTCCATTTTTTTTTTTTTTTTCCTGAATTACACAGGGGATATGTGTTGTCCATAACTTTAAAGGCACTCATGGAGCTCCTTCTAAACCGAAGCCTGAAGACCCACGAGGAATGCCACTAATGGCCTTTCCAAGAGTGGAAAGTCCTCTGGAGACATTGAGTGCACAGGTACTGTAAATCCTCTTACTCAGATCCTCAACAAGCACACTTGTGTTATGGCAGAGTAAAAGCTAGTTGTATTCCTAACTACACATCCCTAACACCAAGCGCATTGAGCAGAGTGAATTTGCATTGGGGAAAGTTTGTTTTAACGCATTTATCTCTTAAACTACCGAATACTGTAGATCATCTGCTCTTGGGCACACCCAAACCTAAACCAGCAGGATTTCACATGCCCCAGCATACCATTTGTGTTAACAAACATTTTCTTAGTAGAAAACTGAGAGAAAAATAAGGATAATTCTGTCTAATTACACTTCAGGGTGCTTTTGGCATATCTTAAGGATTTACTCTCACATTCTTAATCCTGGGGATAAGCTATGCTGTTCAGAAATATATGATAGAGATTAGGTTTTTATTCTTATTACTGTTCAGTATCTTCTATAAGAAGAAATCATATACCCTTTTCTATCTCTTAAGTCATCAGAAGAGAAGGCAATAGCATTCTTTCAAGTCTGCAAAAAAAAAAAAAAAGGCTAGTGAGAGCACCATTATTGATGGTGTTTCTGTTAAAATTAACTTCAAAAGGCTTGTGTTGGCGTAAACTGAATCATAGCTGACCCTTTCAAAACGACAAGCAAATGCCACCTATGAAAAATTTCTGGCAACAGGAGGAACTGTAGTTTGTCTGTTGTCTGAAATGCCCTGTTGTAATTTATTTGTTCTTTAAATTGTACTCCTCATTAGGTGGCCTGTCATTCCTGTGTACATGGTGTGTGGCACTGTTTCTAACGTCTTTAAATATTTTGCTTAATTGAAAAGTCAGTTTTGATTAGGAAAACATTTGCTGGAAGACTTTCAACTAAATCTGTGGAACTGTGTGTATTAACTGTTTTCTTGGTGGACTTGCAGTCCAGAAACTAAGTACTACTTACACTGTATTGCATATGGCAAAAGGGATGAACGGGAGAAAATACTCATAGACTGTGAAAAAAAATTCATGTAGCCAGGTATTTTTAAATTCTGGGCTCTGAAGTGCAGGTATGGACTAGGCCTTAGCTGTTGATGTCCACTGTGACCAAGAGTCTTCTCTGATTTGGAGTATCTGTCTCTAAATGACCATACATCTACCATGCAGGAGTAGATTTATGAAAAAGTGATCCTACTCTGAACCTCTTACAAGCAAACCCTTGGGAGTGGCTGCTCATTACTGTTTCTTCAGATAAAGAAGGTGCATCGTCTTTCTGTGTGCAGATTCTGCTTTCATTGCCAGTTGTTTTGCTTTGCACCCACAAAAAGCCTGCAATACACAGCATGATCCAAGGACTCAGTATTACCCCTGAAGTCTTGGACATTGGCTTCCAAGGTTAAATCATCCATTTCCACCTAAAGAGGACTTCTGTGTTGCTATATATCTGTGGCTGCATGTATGTTGACATAATGACCCCACCTCTGTATGGTTTTAAGCTCTGTATGTTCCCTAATACCAAACTGTCTAGAATCGCATCACATGAAGCCAGACTGCAGTCTTCTAGGCTCTTCAATGGCTGAGGATAGATGTACTATATTAGTTACATGACTGTATGAGGTGCTTGAGCCCATACTGATGTTTCATATGCATAGAATGCAGTCGTGTTTGAAAGTCTCAGTTATAAAAATCACACCTTGTTCTTCAAGCCTGTTAGCAAATGTTCATAGCCCAAAAGGAGGGCTTGAGTTCAGCCTTCCCACCACAACCTCAGGACAGAAGGTAGTCACATTTGCAGTGATCTCTTCATTTTGAAGACCTAAATTAGCTGGACAACAGATTGTAATGAAGGTCTTTCTAATTCATTTTACACACCAGGATATATGTAACTGCCAAAATGTATACCAATTTTCATGTGCTTGTTTTTCCTCTTTGCAGAATCACTCTGCCTCTATGACTGAAGTAACCTGAGATGGAAGACTGGCAACTGAAGCTATTTTTTATTACCCCCCCAAGTACAATACTCCAAGACACAGATACTAAATGTCTAACTGCAATGACCAGTATTATGTTATGTCTAGTTAGAGGCTAATGTTTTGTACTTTTTTTGTATGAAGAAGTGATGTAGCTTACCCTGATTTTTTGTCAGCTTTAATATTATTATGCCAGAATTTAAAAGCAAAAAGGAAAAAGAGGAAAAAAACACTTTTCTTGTTTAAAGTGTGCACTAAGGAACTACATCTATTGAATTGTTGATGTTGTTATGTGATATTTGTACACAGTTTTTTTCTTTTTCATTTCTGAATTTATACATGGGGGGGGGGGGGAAATATCACTTTTTCTTACCATGAGAAGTGTTTCTACCAGTGGGTCAGATTTGAGTAAGCTCAGCATAGATCTGAAGCAGTTGCATATACCTAATTCAGATTAAAATAGTGGTGATTGGGAATCTAACCCAAATGATAATATCAAAACATAATAAACATCCAACCTCGATTCAGTGAGCTACTTAAGCGTTCCTTAGCGTTATGGACTTCAGCTAGCCACCCTGTTTCCAGACTATTTGGCAGACTTGAAGTATGTCCTCAAGCATCTTACTGAATCAAAGCCCGATTGTTCTGGTGTGGGTGATCGTGTTAGTTATTGAAGAATAACTAAAACAATGTACTCAGTCCGCAAATATACAGAATGGATGTGAAAATTTATAGTAGTAGCTGATAGCATGTGAGCTGACTATATCACCTCCCTAGATCTCTGTTCCTCCCTGAGGCCCAGCTAAAGCTCCCAGTGAAACCTGGCTTCAGGAATTGACTATGGGGATATACAGCCACCGCTGTGGAGCTGAGGCTGTGCTTTAAGTGTTCCATAACTTCATCATAAATTTGTGGAGTAACTAGTAACACTCGTATAAAGGAAACTGACACCACTTCTTCAGTGGAGTGGCATGACATGGCATTCAGATTGGCAGAATCAAGAAGGCAGTTCTACCCCCATAGTGTAGTTTTCACTGAGGGGATTTGGCAAGACAAGAAACAACAACAATAACAACAACAACAAAAACACCAAAAACAAAACCAAAAACTGACAGTCTTTAGTAGCAGTCTGCATTTCTGTAAATTCTGCTATACAGAATTTATATCTAAACTGCCATTTTACAATTTAACAACTTTAAGGAATAAAAAGACAATTAAATCTGGGTGGGGGATGGGGGAAGAACAAAAAAGAGCCCCTTTATAATGGTTAAAACTGGGGGCAAGGCTTCATTACATGACTTTTCACTGTTCCTAGAATTTTCCTGCATCTCATTCTTCTAGCATGGTGATAACTGCTGTGTGTCTCCTTTTAAAAAAAGAAGCCTTTGTCTGTACTTTTACTGGAATGTTTACCTCACATTTCCATGTTGATTCTTCTTGGCTTTTTTTGTATATTTTTTCCAAAACAGATGCAAAGAAAAAGTATCAAAAAACTAAAACATGTAGCCTGGTCTGTCATTTGGGATATCTGTGTCTAGTCTCGCGGTGTTTCTTCCAGGTCGCTATTCTGACTCTACTGATGTCCACTTCAGTCTTCAAACTTGGGCCATGCAGGCTTTTTTTGTGACCATAAGGAGGCATCAGTAGTGTTCTGGGTCCCACAGTTTGATCCAAATTCCACAGCGAAGTTTCTGCTGAATAAATTTGGCTGTGGATCTAGTCCTTGCTCTGCTGTGTTAGGAGAATAATGACACACTATAGGAAATCCTTTAGCATAAATGGGCATCCAATCAGTATGCCCCGTCAGCAGCAGGTAAATTATTCACACTGCAAAGGGTTAACAGTGGGTTGAAATCTAAGATGAAGAAGTTACATTCTGTAGCCTAGGTTTTGCAGTCAGGTTCCCTGAGGCTCTGTTCCTCTCAAGTGCACTGCTACCACAGCATGCATCTTGTAGTTTTGGTCAGTAGCTTCCACAGAATGGGTAGTGGTATTTGTCCTGTCTCTGCTTATCCTCTAGCATGAGGCTGTTGTCATGCTCCTTTCTTGCCTAGCTCCTCTTTTCCAGTTTTGCTCCTGTTCTTCTGTTTTTCACTCTCTCCTCTGATCATGTTACATGAGCCATGAAAGTTGCATGCTGGGAGAGACACCCTTGGGAAAAGGGGGGGGGGCAGAAAGTGCAACTATTACTGCAAGTGTTTTTAATGAGCATGGAGTAAGAGGAAATAAGACTTAAGCATCTTTTCTTTGCTGGAAATACATAATTTTACTAAAAAATACTTCCAATACACTGCTCTCAAACAAGCTCTGAAGCAGATGACACAGATCTACCTATTTATCACACTGTTTTTTCCATAAGCAACAGGGAAGCGATTTGTGAACAGCCAGCCTTCCACAGTGATCAGTGAAATACCCCCATTCCCTCATGTCCACCCTGCAGTGGAGCATGTAGTGGTACACATAGGCTATTCAGTAATTCCCCAAGAGTCAAAAGAAGAAAATAATGGGTTTCTTAAATTTCTTTATAGCTGCAAGAAACCAGCACTTATGAAATCTGTTGAGCACTGTTAGAACATGAAAGCAGCAGTTTCCAAGCATGCTTCAGGTATCTGTAATCTCAAAGAAACCAGGGGAGCAACAGTTCAGGAGATCGAGGTGTAACCTGGGTCTTTCTGGAGCATCCCCAGAAATACCACACATACAGAATCTGATCTCACCATCAACTTGCTTTGTAGAACACATTCACAAACTGCCATGCATTTCAAGACTGCTGCATGTATTTTCTTGTCATCCTGACTTCACTGCTTGATTCCTCTGATTAAATCAAACCTACACCACCAGTTGCAGGGCAGAAAGAAAAAAAAAAAAAAACACAAACATATAGAACATAAAACTAACAGCTGTTAGAAGGAGCAACAGAGTTTACATAAAAACAAGTCTTGAGCAGATACAGAAAAATTCTACAAGCTGCCCTGATGGCAGTTTTTGTAGGGCTGCTGGAGAGTTCACAGCTACTGAGTAAAAAGATTTCAGAATGCCATAGAATCATAGAATAGTTAGGGTTGGAAAGGACCTTAAGATCATCAAGTTCCAAGCCCCCTGCCATGGGCAGGAACACCTCGCACAAAACCATATCACGCAAGGCCTCGTCCAACCTGGTCTTGAACACTGCCCAGGGATGAAGTATTCACAACCTCCCTGGGCAACCTATTCCAGTGCCTCACCACCCTAACAGGAAAGAATTTCCTCCTTATATCCAATCTAAACTTCCCCTGTTTAAGTCTGAACTTTTTACCCTTTGTCCTATCACTACAGTCCCTAATGAAGAGTCCCTCCCCAGCATCCCTATAGGCCCCCTTCAGATACTGGAAGGCTGCTATGAGGTCTCCATTCAGCCTTCTCTTCTCCAGGCTGAACAGCCCCAACTTTCTCAGCCTATCTTCATACAGGAGGTGCTCCAGTCCCCTGATCATCCTTGTGGCCCTCCTCTGGACTTGTTCAAACTCCATGTCCTTTTTATGTTGAGGACACCAGAACTGCACACAATACTCCCAAGTGAGGTCTCACAAGAGCAGAGTAAAGGGGCAGGATCACCTCCTTCATCTGGCACTATCTTTTATTATAAGTAGAAATTATAAGTAGAAAAATTGGATTTATGTTAAGATGGCAACTGTAATTGCTTCTAACAAAATTACTGCTGACAGGGTCTTCTTTTCAATCTCAAGCAAAAAAAAAAAAAAAAAAAGAGTAAACAGAAGGAAAAAAAAAAAGAAAAATACAAAAATATGGCTTACTTCCCCCTTCATGCCCAAGTTTGCTGGCCCTGCCAGTCTTGGTGGCTGAGCTGAGCAGGGCTTCTGACATCAGCTGCACTCACAAAAGCCCAGTACACAGTGCAAAATCAAAGACAAGAAGTCTGAGACGTGGGGAATAAACTGGGGGCTGATCCTCTGGCTAACCCCACTGGATCCTCTAACTGTTGGGCAGCACATTAAGGGGCAGAAAGCATGTTAGTACCATTACGGACCACACCATATCACTGTTTCGCAAGGAAAACTTCTGCTTCTTTTCTTACATATAATAAACAAACACGAAACCCAAGGAAAACTAAATGAACTTTTATTAGTGATATTCATAAATTCAGTTGCTACAACAATAAGAGGGCTCTGCTTCTGCTCTGCAGCCCCGCCTTACAAACACAAGCAAAGCAAAGCAATGCTCTGTGGTGCAGCTCACTGCTCCCAGTTAATCTTCAGGTTTGGGGGTAGTTCAGCAGCACACAGTTCATCAAACTTGGACTCATCCTTCACAGGACTGCTATAGAAATTCAAGACATCCTCAGCACTGCGCATCAGGTAGAGCTGTGAATTAGGGACAGCATGACCAAGTTCTGCTGCCAGCTGAGCCAGTAGGCGATACTTTAACCTGTTATCTTTGAGGGAGGTCTGCTGCCAATTATCAGGAAGTGAGGGCCCAAAAATCTCCTTGACGCGAGACTCAAGGTAGCTCTGTATATCCTCTGGAGGACGATAGCTTCTGCTGCGTGGTGGGGGACAGATCAGGCTGGGCTCATTTTTCTCTTGATGAATTATTTTGGCTGCTTCTACTTCTTTTTCTTTCTTCCTGTTGGCACCAGACAGAAGTACTTCGAATCTCTGGGCTACTTAAGACTGAATCAGAGCACACTTCTATTCATAGTCTTTTAATATCTAACTAACATAGCCTGTAGACATTTATACCTCCCATAGACACAGAAGACTCATTGCTCATACAAAAACAAAAATGTGTGGTCTAGATGTTTGGTTTCCCCCCAGATTGCCACATTGTCTCTACACAGCAGTGACCTGTCTAGCTTATTTGACTGGTCTGAGAGCAAACAGAATTTTAAGCAGATTAATGACTTATTTTCTCACTTATGCCTTCATTTTCTAATCTGCTGTGAAAAAAAGATAACAGAAAATAACCACCACTATAGAAAAAAAATGTACCACACATACATATACAGATATATACATAAAGCGCTAGTTTTAACTACAGATTTAAAGCCTACCCCAAGTTATTTGACTTGCTCAAATGCCACTATCTAGTTAGCAACACAAGCATGGTTTCACCTAAAAGGTGATACAAAACTGACTGGTTTCCATTCCCATTATAGTACTGCCCCGAAATATCTCCTTTTCCACACCCCCCGAGTTCTCTCACCGAAGACAGTGAGAGCACTGAAAAGCCCAGCTCCGTACCGCCACGCCCGCCTGCTGGCTGCGCACCTTCGGCAGGGACGCGACGAGGACACCCGCTGCAGGCTGCGGGACCGACGACCCACCGCGCTCTGGTGCACTAAAGCCCAACACTGAGGAGGGGAGGTCTGAAAGACCAACTAGCCTCCCGACCACGGCACGGCACCACCATGTTCCGTTCCTCTTCTCTTCCCTTCCCTTCCCTTCCCCTTCCCCTTTCTCTTCCTCTTCCCCGGCGTTACCTCACACCACCCCAGAACGCCCTGCTCGCCGCAGCGTTAAGACCCAGAAGCCGGCCAGACACCCGCAACGCGGCCACAGCAGCCATCGTGAGAAGACACAGAACTTCCTCCCAGCAGCCAGCGCGGCTGCGACGCATTCCGCTCCGCCCGCGCTGCCTCACGGGAACTGTAGTCCCGACACGCCTACGGCTGGAGGCGCGGCGGCTGTTAGAGGGTTAGCCATATTTTCAGCTCTCCTCCTCGGGGTGGGCTCGTTAGAGTCTGTGCCAGCGGGCGTGGGGAGGAGGTTTGGCAATAGAGTGCGTGGGACTAAAACAACATAAGGTAGGGACATACGTCGTCACCCTCTCCGACTGTAGCGGTGGATGTGTGTTCTGCCAGTCAGAGGCTCTTGGCAGCGGCCCCCGGAAGTTTTTACCCTGCCTTCGGGGTGCGATGGTTGCCAGAGCTGTCAGCCAGCACAGGGAATTTTTTCTCAAGGCTACATTTCTGATCCAGGCACACGATTATATGGGAATATCACTTTACCCATTCTCTAAAAGGATGTTCTTTTTTAAAAAAGTGAGAAATCATGCTTCATCGTGCTTTGGTGCATGGCAGTACATTCA